CCCCTCATTGATAAACCCTAGCTCTTCACAGCAATCCCTGGTGTTCGCCCCCTTTTCTCTGTCTTCTCTGCGATGGCTCCCACTTCCCCCACCACGCACAGCCATGTGGTGCCATAGTGCACGTTCAAGTCAGGGCCTGTGTGAGGGCTTCCTTCGGACATAGTCACAAGAGAAAAGCCCACAGCTTATAGGTAATCATGGCGTGTGGCAGGTATGGCACATGCTCTGGGCCCCACATGAGAAGGTGCCAACGAGCAGTTTCTTTTCTCAACAAAATTCCTATTGTCAGCTGTGACAGATCACTCGGCAATTTGAAATTAACTACCATAGGCACTACTTTGCATAGGGAATGCTCTCAGAATGACTTCCCAAGCCTACACTCCCATTTCAGTACAGGAGGGGTCCCATTGACCCCAACCTCGTCAGCACTGGGCAACATCCAGCTTGGGCATTTTCTAGAATCATCAAGTCGTTAAGTGCTGCATTATTCTGAAAACTATTCATCACTCCTTTGCTGACCTCCTGGTTCCCATCCCAAAGTGCTCGTACCTACCTGGCTCCCCAGCTCAGCTCATGGAGACCCCATCACTGCAGATGATTAGGCCATCATCACAACCCTTTTCCCATGAATCAGCTGCGTTGCATCAACCCCACTTCACACCAACCCCATGTGTGTCAAGAGTGGAACTCTGCTCCATGGGGTTTTCAATGGCTGATGTTGTGCGGGTAGATCACCAAGTCCTTCTTCCAAGCCGTCTCTGTGGATTCGAACCTCCACACTTTTGGCTGGCAGCTGAACACTTAACTAGGAACCTTTTTCTCTCATGCCTGAATTAAATCCGCAAGAAAATCCTCTTGCCTCTCTTTGAAAACTGTACAAAACACAATCACTCCTCATCACCTGCAGTCTTACTACCAGGTGTGGACCACCATCATCTCCCTCTGGGTTACTGACCAGCCTCCAACAAACCTCTCTGCTTCCACCCTCGCCTCCCTACAGTCTGTTTTCAGCTCAACAGCCACAGTGATCCTTTTAAGTGTAAGTCAATTTGCATCCTTCCTCTGCTCAGATCTTCAGTGAATGGCTCCCCATTCCCTCAGGGTGAAAGCACAGACTTTACTAAGGATGAGGCCAGCATTCTAGTTGTCTCCTCTGAGAAGGATTTTCTTTCTTCAGCTGTCCTCTTCCTCATCTCCTTCAATTCTTCATTTGATAATCTTTTCTATGAGTCTTCCATGTTCTATATATTACCACCAACATCTCCCTGCTCCCTCTCCCATTTCCCGTCACTGTGCTATTTCTTTTTCCAAAGAACACATCCCTTCTAACCTACTTTGCAATTTACTCAGTTTTTTCATGCTCATTGTTTATTGTCTGTTCCCCATCTAAAACATAAGTCCTCAAGGGCAGCCTTCTCTGTGT